TGAAGACCGCTTCACAAAATATTGAGTTTGCAGCGGTGATGCAAGACGACCAAGTCTGTTTGCAGTAGTCTTTAAAGGTATCCAAAACTGGAGCCAAAATGTTGGTCTCTTACGGTTTGCGTACTGGTTGTTCGACCCCACCATTTTCCCGAGCAGCGCTGTATGCGTGATATAGGCCAGCCAGCCATGTCTAAGACGCGATCTGGTCGCACTGGACACCGCACAGCCTAAAGCAACAAAAATTGTGCTACACCAAATGCGACTGACAGCCTTAGGAGTGTACATTAGATGTCATTGCCATTCACAAAGTGATATCATTCTGGAGTATCAGAGTTAGAATAACCCTAGTCACATTTACTGCCTCTGTCTGAAATTAAGACGTAATACTGAAACAGAGTGGCTACCATCTGAATTTGATCACTTAGCACAATCGGCTGGATCGTTGCCCCAATTATCTTTTGCTCACAATTTCTTGGTTGTAGTCGGCTCCGTTGAGTTTCGTCATTTATAAGCCCACACCACTCATTTTAACAAAGAATTCATAAATTCATCGCATCACCTGCATTAGGTGACATAAATTCCGCACATACATTGATGACAAGACGCAGACAGACATTGTGGTCACTAGAACCTGCACAATAGACATGGACGCATTACGTGTGCTTACATAGCTAATTGGTGGGTTCACAGATGCGCGCTTACTTCACACAGACCATCCCACGGGACTCGTCAAGCCTCGGCATCTTTTACGCATATACCATAGTTCTACTCCACACGCGCAGCAAGTTTGAGAGCTAATTACAATCCAATTGTGAAACAAACTTTATTGCCATAGGCATAAAACAAAGCCCACTTGTGTGATTCAAGCTAATTTTTGAAAACAATGAGCGATACCAAGAAATTACAAGTGATAGTCAGACATTGATGTGTGCGAATAATGCTGATAATTTAACCAGCTGTTTCTAGGCTAGGAAACAAAATAAATATCAGTCAGGATATTTCAGTTTGCAACGCAACTGTAATCCTGCCATCCAAACTCTCACAACATTGTGAATTAAATCCTTGCGCGTATTGACAGCATTGATAACAAATCTAACTGTTTCCTCCATCCGTACATCGTGGGTGCATGTACTCACTGAACATAATTGAATCCCCAGGCCTAAGAATAGTTACCACCTGATACCGATGACCCTTATTTAAAAGTCTAGCAACTAAAAGTTTACTGTGAACGGAGTACCACATACCAGTAAATTTATATTCAGGTGTTGGTTCTACATTGTGACAAGTATTCCAATCTTTGGCTCACGATATGTTTGATGGAAAGCGTTTTTGAGACATAAGATTATCAAAAATTAATAAGTATGGCTTTGTTTGTTCTATGCAAAAGCCTAGTAGGTATTCGAATCCAGGTGCACGCATGGTGTGAAAATATGCGTCCTTTTTGCAAAATTTTCATCGCTCATTTACATTTGAACTGATTCATACGAATTTAGTCATCAAAGGACTTCCTCTACCACTGAATTCTTCTGCGATCCTTGGAGTATGTCACTAAACAGCATGAAGCATTCGTATAGACTACCCCTCCAGAATCCCTTTTTCCTCCGATCCATCTTAGTGAACGCAATGTGCGTTACTCAGTTATGCATTCTTATCTTTGGTCTACATCTGTTTCGAGCTCAGTCAATCTCGCAAGTAGGTCAGGGCGATTCCTGTCTGCTTCTCGTTTGAAGCCACTAACACACTTCCAGTGCACTAACCTTGTGACTATGACAAACACGGCGGTTGTAAGGGAAACTGCAACCTCAGGTTGTCTGAGCTCATCTACGTACACCGACAAGACAAAGCCGAAAGCCAGGGATATACCTAAAACACAGTCTTTATTCTTCTGTGCTCGGATGAAGATAGGTTTCAACAGAAGCAACTAGCTGTAAAATATTATTTAGAGAAATTCGCCGCTTATTAAGCCACAAATCTGTGGGCGCAACCACCAGTATCTATTAAAAGTTTGCCAAAGCTACCTCAGTTGAAAGATTGCAGGATGAAAAAATATTTCTCGATCGACGGATCCCTTACTTATTCAATGAAAGTGAAAGCGAATAAACATTGTCCTTACATCTCATCCCGATATGGAACAAGCGGAACTCTCCAGGTTATGTCACTTTAAGACTATACCGAAACGAAAAAAGCACTTCTATGTAAAAGGTGCCGTATTTTATGTTGCAGCAGTTTTTCCCGCAGAGGATCGGAGTGAAATGCAGCAGACCGTTGTGAAGCACAAACCACTAATGAGGAGTGGTGCTCGGTTCGGGAAACCCAGAAAACCGGTTTCAGGCCAATATTCATCCTCTCGGGACAGCAAGGCATAAAAACGGACTGCGTGTACCATCCGTTAGTTAACACGGCCTAAAGAATTAAGTGGAAGAGTTTTAGCTGCTTACCTCCGAGACTCGTCTAGAACTGGTGAGCTTCATTACAATTTGGATGTTTACACTTATCATGGACTTGGAATCGTCTGTCTTCCTTAACTCCAGGCTTCTCTGAAGCTACACGAAGGAATACTCACACATATGCCAATGTCAATCCTTGTGGAGTCATATAACTCGCACCCTATTTTGCCAGCACAGTCTTTTATCTTGAAATTTTCACGGTAGAAATCCTAGGGGAGTTGTCAAGCATTTGTTTCTGTATCAAATAAAAACCATTCCTCCATGGCTCCAAACCCATATATCACATAACTAGGGTTGATGAATATTTAGAAAGGCACGGTGACAGTGTAATGTTCAGGCAGAAGGTAGGTCTTAAAGCACATTTACTTAAAGACAGGTAGCGAATATGCATTTCAAATTATTTGGTGGTGTTCGCGAACGATGCAAATCTCTCTTGGCCTACATATTCTGTTGTTATATTCTTGAATTGATAAGAGAGTATGGTGTTGTGCATCAAGAAACACGCTCTTTCAGTATTTTGCAACATTGGCTTGTACAGTTGTTTAACCTTCAAAATATCCACTTGTTTTACTGACGGCACATCCGTGGACACAACTTGTTTCGGTGAGTATTTTGCTCCACCGTTTCTCGCTCTGGTTGATTCGCTTCCTATTTTTTAGCCTGCACAATACACGTTGGGTTCAGTCGTCTCCAACTTTTATATTGTCCCGTATTTGACATTGCTCCTACGTGTCATTGAGTACCGAATAGTATCCCAGGCTCCACCCAACACCTGGTGACCCTCCAGAACACGCCGTCCGCCATTTTGTTGTGTATGGGTGGTGTGCAGAGGTCGGTTTAGGTGGTGGCATGTTCTCACGAGAGGGGGGGGGGGGAAATAACGCCTAGTTGATGTTTGGGTGGAAAGCGTATTTTCCAGTATAGTGGTTGGTGCAGGCTGGTCAAGATTTAGTGAGTACGCCGATTCTCGCCCAGGGTATGGGCCAAGGCATTTACGGTGACTCTGCCGTCAACCCACGTGGTTGGGCCCGCCCACCACTGAATAGTTGGGCGAGTGTGTTTGGGCACACCCGGGCAGGGCGCAGGGAGGGGCACCGCCCGCGTCACGTGCGTTAACCTGCTGGGGTGCATTACCTAGTAGTTCTTCGAATTAGGTGGTATTCTTAGTGATTGCTTCTGCCGATTTTGGCATTTTTATCTTCCGTGTTTTGGTTTAGGATTCCGACTTTGTTTTTAATCCAGCCGCACTAGTATTGAAAATGTCTGAGCGTGCCCACATCCAAAGCACAGATCGACGAAATTATGGGAGCGCATACCTTCTATGGCAGAGACCCAGGTGGATCCATCCGTGAGTACTGACGACCAAGCGCGAATTGAGAAGTACGGAGGCCTTTCAATACTCTTGTTCGTAAGAATGGTTGTTGAACGCCAGCGTGGTGGTACAGCCCCTTTGGATAGCGATTGTTATTTGACTTCTTCTGCAATTACATACCCACATCATTCACCCCGAAGACAGTCGGGGCTTACACAAGGCGACGAGGATACCTTCCATGAAGGCGCTAGGTGGATGGGATTGGGAATAAATGACCCAGGAGCGATCCTTGTTATGAGGGAGGTGTAGGGTTATAAGGGAACATTATGTAAAACCGGAATTCTCACTAGCCAGTAGTTCAGGGGCATATGACAGAACACGACCAGCACCTGGGAGAGAGTGGCTGGAGGCTGCATGTAACCTAGTGAATGTAACCGTACGAAAAAGGGGAATGAGTAGGTCCTTGCCAGCGCTTCTTCGGCGCGCAGGCCATGACGGCTGAATGTGAGTGTGGCAGTCGTTAATGCGGCCAGGTACAATTCTCCCCCACCAGTGGGTGTAGGCGTCGCACAGCAAGGAGAGTAAGCTAGACGTTAGTAACTGAAAATAGTGGCGGAACTATAGTTATGCATAGTTTTGGAGCGTAAGCAAGGGCTGAAAGAAACCTGATCTATTCAGATAGAGGGTAGATGTAGCTTATAGAAGACTTGTACTTGGCGACTGGAGCAGACGAGGGTGTTACCTCCATTCGCTAACTCTTTGGCGCTCATGATGCTCATTACGCTATGATGGATACCTTGTCCACACAAAGTTGCATAATACGTATCCCGCGCGTTATGGGATGGCATCCCAGGCTACAAGTTCGAGGCGATTACATTTGGATCGGACGGTGAACGGGGGTCATTATAGGGAGTCGGTTGGCCCAGTTACAATGCCAATAATATGTCCGAGCACAACCCTTGCAGTTTGACCTTCCACCAACAGGCCGACCGAACACCGCACGAGAGAAGAACTCCGGTGTAGGGGGCGTGTGTTGATGGTGGGCGTTTAAGGTTCTCAAGGTGGCTAGGCAAGGAATAAGGTGCCTAGGGCAGGCAAAAACAGACAGTTACGGAGGACGGGTGGGTGTCGGTGATCTTTTGAAATATTGGACCACCCCAAGGACAGTGAGAGTGGGTGAGTATGATGTTTTTCAACCCCCACCCCCGAGAACATTGCGGAGTTCGTGGTCATACGGGTAGTTAGGACTCCCACGTGGAGCGGGATGGGACAAAGAAGATGGCATGGGTTAAAGTGAGAGGAACGAGCAGCTCGATCCCCAAGGACTCTATGAGTGCCATTATTTGGATCGTATTATGATTGACCACACTTCGGTGTTCGCCATCACGCCCATCTGTCAACTGGTAACTAGGTTGTCGCGTGCTCGGGCAAGAGGGGGGTGGATAAGGATAGGATTGGACAGGGTGCTGGATGAGCGGATCTCTAGAGCGTAACGGGAGATCGGTTGTGAGTTGAACAGAGGGGGCGCAGGTTGGACGGAGGTTTTCTAGAAATCGTGGAATGGTGAGTGAGGGATACTAGGCCATGGCACCGCCCACGAGGTCCCCAGTGGCGTTGTAACGTATTCATGAGTCGTTGGACGACTGGTTTATTTGGATATGCGGTAGTCTTTTTCGTTTAGTGCTTTTTCCTTAGTAGTTCTAGCTAGTTTAAGTGATACGTGTAAGATCAAGCGTGAAGGCACTAACTCACCACAGTCCGGGGATGGTAAGTTTTTGTTCCGTCAAGTGTGTGGTGGACCCTGGGGGGCTATAAGGGGCGGTACGGGATCGTGGGGGTGCCCGTCCAGCGTTATAGCCAGCCCACTAGCGTATTGTTATGAAACAGTGCGGCCTGTGTATACTGGACCAACTGCACACCGCGGTGGGGTCCATAGTGCAGAGTTGTAGACGGGCCGCGGGCGGACCCTACCTGGAATGTCTCACTAGTACTTCAGTACTTAAATACTTAACGAGTCCACTGACCTCTGTTTGTGAACGTTACAAGGTGGCCAAGGCTGTGTCAGGATCGACGTGTTGTGTTGTTACCCCCCCCCCCCCCCCCCCCCCCCCCCCCCCCCCCCCCCCCTCCCCTACCCCCCCCCCCCCCCCCCCTACCCCCCCCCCCCACCCCCCCCCCCCCCACCCCCCCCCCCCCCCCCCCCCCCCCCCCCCCCCCCCCCCCCCCCCCCCCCCCCCCCACCATTATATGTCGTGGTTTTGTTTATGACCGGCTTGTTAATGAGCACACTAAAGCGTGGTAAGATGTGCTTAAGAGCTGTAATATTTGGGAATAAAGAGGCTCGATTAGCAAGTGATTTTCATGGTAACGCCCAATCCAGTGTTGACGTAGTATCATGTAAAATTCGCGTTTTGGACTTTACAGCTAGCGAAACGCGTGTAGTTTCCGGGCAACTCCAGGTGCCGAAACGCCGATTTGGGCCGATAAACACCGCGTATACGCCATTCCCAGATCTGCGCCCCAGTGCTGAGCACACCTTCGTTACACCACGTTATTTCAGCTCGGGTCATCGTACAATGGACGCCGCAGCTTTTCCCCTGTGGCCATCCCAAGTCAGCGCATCACATCACGGAACGAATGGTACCACCCTGTTGCATGTATGTCGTGTTCACGTCGACTAGTCGCCCTAGCAACTATAAAGGTAGGTAAAGGAGAGATGGTTGAGCACATGACCTCAAGCGTTAGAAGAATCCGTCCTTTCCGATTAACCCTTCATGGGCTCCTCTACTTCCTGTAGATGGTCTTCCCCCAAGGAAAATCTGTGTTTTCCTTGACTGGCGCCTCTTGCGGTGATTACCGCGCACTGCAAACCGTTCTCTATGCAATTGGATTGGATACCTCATCCCACATCATTTCAGACCTTCTACCGCATTGCCTCTACAGCTAATAAGAACCATCTTCAGCAAGGATCAATCGTTTGTTCGCGGCCTAATCAGCCTTAGGCGGTACCATTGTTAGAAAGAATAAGTGAATTTAGCATAACAGTGTCGTTATCACTCACTCACAAGTCTTGTGT